ATGGAATAACTTAGGTAGAGTGTGTAAAGCGCCTGTCTTGCAAGTAGCAAGCGCTCCCTAGCCGTTAGCTACCCTAGTTTTTGTCATTCTCACCACACCCCACTTTGTCATTCACACACCTGCCTCACAGCTCCCTGCACTCCTCCCCTCCGTCCACCAGGGGGCCCCACACGCCGCTCTCCCGCCTTTGCCGTCCCCGCGGGAACAGGGTAGCCAGCCAGATAACCCCTGGTACCATCCTTTGGCCTCTAGTGACAGCTCTGTCTACTAACTCTACTATTGCTGCCTCTTCCCTCCAGTTATCTCAGTCCCTCATCCCCATTACTTCATTTACTCCACAAAGACTTGCTGAGCACCTCAGCTGATGTCTTGGGCTTCTTAGTAGTTTAAGATATAAGGGACAATTGGGTCCAGTGCGATAGTATAGTAGCTAAAGTTCTTGTCTTGCATGCTCCAGAACCCTTTATGAGCACTGGTTCTGGTTTGTATTCTGGGTGCTCCACTTCCCATCCAGCTCCCTGCTTGTGGCCTGGGAAAGCAGGAGCCTTGGGACCCTGTACCTGCATGGAAGACCCGAAGAGGCTTGTGGCTCCTGGCTTTGGATCAGCTCAGCTCCAGCCAGTGCAGCCACTTGGGGAGTGAACCAGAGGATGAAAGATCTTTCTCTGTCTCTCCTCTCTGTAAATCTGACTTTCCAATAAAACATAAGTAAATATTTTTTAAAAGATATAAGGGACAAGGTGGATGGGGTCTGTTTGTGTGTGGTTCCTAAAGAAAGGTAAGAGAGCGCAGAAGCAAGAGGGAGACCTGAGCTGAATTTGGGGGGCGAGAAGACTAAAATTGGGCCCTTTGGAACCAAGTTTCTTGGGCCCCAATAGCAACAGCGCTGAACTTTTTCTGAAACTCCCTCAGATTCTTTAACTTCAGCTTTTCCTCCCCAGTGCTCAAAATTGCACTTCCTCAGCCCCAAAATGCTTCAGCCTTTACCCAGACAGCCTTAGCCTTTCAGGAGAAAATCTCAGGCCCCTACACCCAAGCCTTGGGAAACTCAGCCCCTCACCTCATACCACTCAGCTTCTGCTTTAAGATATGCCCCAGCCGTTGGGCCCAGTGCGGTGGCCTACTGGCTAAAGTCCTCTCCTTGAACATGCCAAGATCCCACATGGGCAGTTTTAATCTCAGCAGCCCCACTTCCCATCCAGCTCCTTGCTTGTGGCCCTGGGAAAGCAGTCGAGGTTGGCCCAAAGCTTTGAGACCCTGCACCCACATGGGAGACCTGGAAGAGGCTCCGGGCTCCTGGGTTTGGATCAGCTCAGCTCCAGCCATTGCAGTTTTGGGGAGTAAATCATCAGATGAAAGATCTTCCTCTCTGTATCTACTCCTATCTGTATATCTGACTTGCCAATAAAAATAAATAAGTATTAAAAAAAAAAAAAGATGCCCCAGCAATTAATGGACTCTGTGGTCCTTTGCCCTTTTTCAGCTAATAAATACAGGAGGCAGGGCTGGGAAACACTCCTACTCCGGCCATGACTCGTGCTGGGCTTGGGGCCTTTCAACTTGGCAGGGCAGGGCTGTGATGTGCAAAAGCCCATTGACTTCCTTTGATGCGTCTTCCGGGGAGAGCCCAGCATTCCTCACTCCCTCCTGATTTGGGGATTGTTTCTTGACATGGGTCCGCATGTTTGCCCCACTCTGTACACATGATCACAACTCCTTTCAGTGTCAAACGCCTCATCATTCTCTTAGTGGAGTTGCTGGTAGAGAGCCCACACCTTCCTCATCTCTAATTCTGCAGAACCAGTCATATAGAATCTTCTGTTGGGAAGGGAACTCAGAAATCACTGGTCCTATGGGTTTCAAACTTCTTTTTTGGCCAGAGACTCTCCTCCAACCAAACCTTGTAAGGAACCAACATATTATATATCTCGATCTATAGGCAGCTGCTAGAGCATAACCACAAAAACCCTGGGATTCTGGGGATTGAAAACTCCTCTAATACAGGAGACTTTCCTTTGAACCAATCATGCAACATCTCCCTAAATAACTTTTTTTTTGTTCCTTTCAGCGACATCACCCACCTTATGCTTAAATATCTCACCTGTAAAAGCCCCATTTTCCCTAGGTCTAAAAAGTAAGCACCTTCATATTCTACGATTCCGTTCTGAAATTCAGAGTGGGGGGGATCTGGCAGATTAGACTGGCAGAGGGTCCTGCCAGTTGAGCATTGGTTTGAAAGCTCTGTTTTCCTGTGTATTCCCTGTTCCCCAAGCTCTAAGCATGGCCTGGGTGCTGTGCTGCCCAGGGGACCTGCTGCAAATGCAACAGCGCAGCCTGTGGACCCCATGAGGTTGCCATAGATACTGATGCGCCAGAAGCTGGTGAGCTCGTTATTATTTACGCGCATCTTCTTTCTAATTGCTGTGGAGTAGCTGAGGTTGTGTGGGTTGTGTGCTGCAGAATGGGGAGCAAGGAGGGGTTGTGCTTGTGTGTGAACACAGAAGTGTCTTGAGGATCAAAACTGCCACGGAGGACACACTGGGGTCTGAACAACAGCGGGAAGTACTGCAGGAGGCGGGGTGGAGTGGGGTGGGGAGAGGAAGAAGTGAGGTAGAAACAGAACAAAACAGATTGCGTTTCCTTTTAATTGTTGCAAATTCAGACTTTCTACTTTTATTTGCACATTTTGTAGAGTAAAAGAAGCCATGGCAAGCACATAGTAGGTAGCAGATATTTGCTGCCAGGCAGCAAGTTCCAAATACACAGCAGTGTGTTACCCCCCCACACACCCTCGACCCCAGCTTCACCCCAATATATTTCTCATCATGCTGTTTTTATACCCAGATGCAGGGCCCTCCCCTCTCTCAGAGACAGAGGGGCTAGTCAGCAACAGTCCTGCTGTATTCCCCACCCTGCCCACCCTGCGCGATGCCTTCTGGGGGACCACCTAGCAGCCCTAGTGTGCTGTGTTTCAACCTCCTGGCGGCCTCACTCCACTTTACAGCCGTGAATGTCAAGTTTCCGGTGTCTGGAGGTCAGGAACCAGGTGACCTTGAGCACGTGGAAGGGGACACAGATCCCCAGCTGACACGCAGCCCCATTTCTGGAATGCAGGCCAGCGGCTGTTGCTTCTGCCTCAAGGCAGATGACAGAAACCCAAACCCTCCAGCCGTCCCCATGTCCACCCCCTCACTGCCCTGCTCCGTGCTGGGACCCTGCGCTCACCCTGGTGCTTTGAGATAGGAAGTGGCCTTACCCCTCACCGCTTGACTTCCTGTGTTTCTCCCCCTCCCCACCCGGGGGCGAGGTGAGGCAGCGTGCTCTCTTCCCTCCATCTTCTCTCTCCTCCTCCCTGGCACTCTGAAACAAATCTCCTCCTGGGCTCCACTCTCCCCTGCTCGCCCCTCCTGGGCAGTCGGGTTCTCAGAGCAGCACCCAGGACTGTTGGATAAGGAGAGGACAGAGCCTACCCGGAGCTTTGCTCCACCCCTCCCTCCGGGAGGTAGCTCTGCAGGCCGGGGCGCCTCTCCGCTGCCTCCTCCCAGCAGAGCCAGCCTGCAGACAATGGGAGGCCTGACTCCCAGTGGGCGTCCTGCTGTAATCAAGACTGAGCCGCCACAGCTGGCTGAGCTCCAGTCTGCCCAGTTGGGCTGGCCCTGGACTTGGGGGTATAGCTCAGCTATCCCCGGCAGGGTGGGAAGCTTTGCAGCCTATTTCTTCTCCAGGGAGACAGGTACATGGCTTCGTCCCACCAACCTGTCGTGGTTAGGAACATTAGAAGAGATGCTATTTTCCTTTGCCCTTCTACAAATATTTACTGAGATTCTGGGGCTGAGTATGTGGTGGTGAGCAAAGGAGACAGAGGCCTTGCCCTATTGGAGCCTATAATTTAGTGAGAAACAAATATTAAACAAATTACAACAGCAGACACAGTTCTATTTAGGTAACTGGTACTATTCTCAGTGCTTTATGTGGTTTAGCTCATTTAATGCTCATAACGCTGTGAGGTGAATACTATTATTATTTCCAATTTCAGATAAGGTGAACAGATACAGAAAGCTTAAGTGACTTGCCCAAGGTCATACAACTGGACAGCCCACAAGTCCAAGCCAGGTGGTCTGACCCAAGTTCACTCTGTAGGTGTCTACGCTCTAGTTCTACCTGTCTCTCATACCAGAAAATCTATCCTGACCAAAAAAAAAAAATTAGGAACCACAAAATAAAAAGTACAGGGGGGCAGGAGGGAGTGCTTTCTCCACCGTTCCCCCAGTCCCCAAGCAGGAAGCATTATTCGCAAATCATTCCCACCCCGTCCGTCCCTTTTCACCCTACCAACCTGAAAAAGAACATTCTCTCATTTCTAAGGTCTAGTGCAGGAAGGCACCGCCCCACCTGTATCCTTGGCCCTAGCCTGCTCTGCCTCGATGCAACCGTGCCCGGTGAGAGTCTTCCTAATGAGGGCCCTGCTTGTCCAAGCCTAGACTGTCAGCTCCACGAGGTCAGGCTGTTCGCAGCCGGCTCTGCACCAGCTGGGGACGCCTCCCGAGTGTGCAGCGTGACTCGGGCTCCTTGACCTTGGCCCGCTTTCCACTTGGTGTGAGCAGCGCAGAGGCCGGGGGGGGGGGGGTTGCCTTGGGACCCGTCTGTGGGGCCTCTCCAGAGAGCTGGATGGTGCAGACGCTCACACCGCTCCTAACACGCATACCCTTGCCCACGCATTCACGATCCCTTGCAGCGTGCGCTCCGGGTCGAGTCTCCTGGTCGCCAACCCTTTAGCTCGGCCGGCCCAGGCGGGCGGCCAGGAGCTGGGACCCTCCTCCCCCAGGCTCCCCTGCACGCCCGGCCCAGCCGGGGCGGCTCCCGGACAGGGCGGGGCAGCCGGCTGGAGGCCCCTCCCCGGGGGCGGTCCGGAGGCCGGGCGGGGGGCCGGCGAGGCTGGAGGCGGGGCGGGCGGGCGCGGGGGTGTCCCTCCCTCCCTCCCTCTCCTCTCTCTCTCTTTCTCTCTCTCTCTCTCCTCTCTCCCCGGTAAAGTCTCGCGGTGCTGCCGGGCTCAGCCCCGTCTCCTCCTCTTGCTCCCTCGGCCGGGCGGCGGTGACTGTGCACCGACGTCGGCGCGGGCTGCACCGCCGCGTCCGCCCGCCCGCCAGCATGGCCACCACCGCCACCTGCACCCGCTTCACCGACGACTACCAGCTCTTCGAGGAGCTCGGCAAGTACGGCCCGCCCGCCCGCCGCCGCCCGCCGCGGCCCCCCACCCTGCCCCCCGCCGCCGGGCGCTATGCGGCTCCTCGCCCCGCCCCCCGGCCCTGCACCGGCCGCTGCAGCGCCCCCCTCGGCCCGCCCCACCCCCAGCCTTTCCCGCCTGCTGCCTGCGGGGCCCCTCGCGTCCCCCGCTCCGTGCCCCGCAGCCCCCACTGCGCCCGGCAGCAGCTGCCCGGGCTGCTGCACCCCGCTCTGCCACGGGGACTGCAGCCCCCAGAGCGCCCCTGGGCGCCCTCCAGCCCCGCCCCTCTTGCACCCTTCCCCCGACTCCTCCTGCTCGCCACCCCCTCCCCACTCTGTTCCAGAGCTCACTCTGCACCCTGTCCCCACGTCCCACGCGCCTGGTACTCGGGACCCTCCCCAGCCCTGCAGCTTCAGACTGGCTGCGGTGCCGGGCAGTGGGGGTGCGGGGGGGGAGGTGATGTTTGGTAGACGGCCCCGCCCCCCACCCCCACCCCGCTTTTCCTCCACCACCGACCCCTGCTAATGTTGCTTCCAGGATCCCAACACCACTGCTGGGCAGCGCTGCAGCACCCCCGGCCCCTCCCCCCACCCCTGCAGTGGTCCTAGGAGCCGCGCGCCGCAGCCGCAGCATCCCCCTCCCCTCTGCACTGAGCTGGCCGCTGCAGCAGCCCCGGCCCCCCCCCAACACACAAGCATACACTCACACCCGCGGTGCCAAGCCCGGCTACTGCAGCCCCCGCCCTTCCCACTCCCACCCCAGACGTTTCTAGAGCCCCCGAGAGTGCAAGCTCCCGTTTGCCGGGGGGACGTACAGGAAAATATCCCGGGGAAAGGGCGCTATTGATGTCAGCCTCCTCTCTGTGCCCTCTCTCTGCTGTCAGTTGAGCCGGGATGCGGTGGGGTGAAGCTGGCTGTGCCTGTGCGTGCATGTGTGTGGAGGGGCAGCTGACCCCCACTGTCCCCCATGGCTGAGGGGGGTTTCTCCCCGAGTGTACCCTGTGTTTGGTCTCCTCTTACCTACGTTCAACTCTGGCTCCTGAGACGAGCTCTGTTCCCTGAGCTAGGACGCAGGGCTGTGGGGGAGATGCAGCAGGTGTGTGCTTAAGCATCGCCCACCTGCTCCTGATGGGCAGCCCCAGGCTGAGGCTGTTGCCTTGCCCAGGGCTGGAGGAGGCGTGGGAGCAAGGTGGCCTGCCACCCACATCTGTTGAGTGTCACGCCATGGTCGCTGAGCTGGGGGGTGAGTGTGGCTAGAGGTCTGAAGTATGTCCGTGTCACACTGCGCTGTTCCGTGTCCCAGTTCTTTCCCTCTTCTCCCTCCAGGGGTGCTTTCTCTGTGGTCCGCAGGTGTGTGAAGAAAACCTCCACGCAAGAGTATGCAGCCAAAATCATCAACACCAAGAAGCTGTCTGCCCGAGGTGAGTGTCCCTCCAGTTTGGCCTCTCCCTAAGGGGCTGCCTGAGGGATGGGACTCCTCAGAGAAGCTGACCCCCCAAAGTGCTGGGGGTTGTGTATGATAGTGCTTGGAAAAGAGTTGGAGTTTCAGGGTGGGTGGACTTCGAAGCAAGTTGTTGCATTGCGGAGCTGGGAGTGCTCAGGGTAGGAAAGATGAGGTGTCAGCAGGACCATGGTCCCTGTAGGCTTGAAGGAGATGGGCACGTGTGGCCTCTGTCTTTGAGGTGGTAGTGGTCACTGCAGGCCTGGCCTGGTCCCCGTGCCCCCATGGTGACTTCAGATAGAAATGCAGTAAGTGAGCAGTGCTGACAAACCCAGCCTCCCCTGCCCACCAGGCGGCAGAACAGACTCCCAAGGGAAGGAAATCTGTAAACATCAGGGGAGGCTGCGACTGGCGAGGGCTTCTCGGGAACAAATCCTGCCAGATGAACTTGATTGCTTTTTTGATCAAATTACAAAGTTGGTGGTGCAGCAAGCAGATGTAGTCTGTCCAGAGTGGAGGGTGATGATGGTTCATGGTCTGCAAATCCCAGTGGCCTGGTCTGGGCCAGAGCTATACTTACCCAGGCCTTGGAACCTCACCTGTGAACTCCTCCTTAGTACTCGAGGCTGGGAGGGTCAGGACCCATCTCTCACACCTCAAACGGATGCTCTCTGAACCTTGTGTTGGGTGCTTGCCAAGCTTACCTCACCTGATAGGTGTAGACCCAGCAGTGTGTCAAGTGCTGTGTGAACAGAGCCAGTGAGCTCGCAGGTCAGGTCCTGCAGAGCTGCAGGGTGCAGCTGAGTGACAGAGGTCTGGAGACTCAGGAAGAAATCAGGGCTGGGCACAAGGATACTACCAGTACATTAGCCAGGACAGACTGCTCTGGGGAGCATGTGGGCTTTGGCGAGTAATGGCATGGACACCTTGGGGGCAAAAGCTGTCCCAAGCACCATGAAATTCCACAGGGATGACGGGCAGGTGGCGGGGGTAGTGGTGGGGGGACTTCTGACATGTTGGCAGGTGTTCTAGAACCTGTTTAGCAGGGTCCTGGCTGCCCATTGGCTAGGGAGTCTTTCTCCATCCCACCAGCAAGGTTTTTGCTGCCTCCTACCCAGTCCCTAGCTCTTGCTCTCCATGTGTACCTTGGCTGGAAGGCTGACTTGTTTATTTTCTTTCACTCTGCGTACCTTGAGTCCAAGGCAGTGGTTGCTATAGAGATGTGTGGGTGGTCAGATGCCCTCTTCCCCTGGGGCAGGGGGCTGGTAGACATCTGCTGGCCGGCGTGGCAAGGTGCGAGAGGATGATTCAGTCTGAGGATGGATTCTCTCTGTGTCCACAATGGCCTAGGCCTGGGTGCCTCAGCAAGGAGACAGGTGTCTGCTGTCTCCAGTTGGTGATGCAATGCTTTGCTTTCCCCATCTCACCAGTGTCCTCTGACCCAGGAAGAGGGAGGAGAGACAGCTGGGAGCCAGGTTCTGGGGTGTGAGACTAGCTGGGGTGGGACACCTTGCAGCTGTCTGCCTTGGTCTTGGGCTTTTGCTGGCTGCTCCTTCCTTACCTGCCTGAACTTCCTGACCTGGTGACATTTGTGGCAATGTCCTCTTCCCTTCCTTGCCTCCTTTCAACCTTGTCCTGTCTTTCCCCCACTGGTATCTTTATTTCCTGGCCCCAACAAGATGGGATTTAATTTCCCTTTGATTTTTTTTTCCTCGAGAAGAGGATCATTGTGTAAAATCATATGCTGCAGACAGCAGCTCCCCCTCCTGAAGTTATGCCAAGACGGAGGCTCTGTGGTGTAGTGTGGGTGCCAGGTTAACTTTATGGCTGAGGCCTAGTCTTGGCAGATCGGGGTCGGAGATTTCTGAGCGCTGGTCCTGTTTCGAGGTGGCAGAGTGGGAGGGTGTTGCCTTGGAGATGGAGTTTTTAGGGGCAGGCCTGGGGGGGTGTAAGTGGGTGGCCGAGGTCCCTCCTGGGCAGGTTCTCCGTAGGGTTAAGGAGCGAAGGCCGTGGCTTGTCTGCAACCTCTCAGTTTACGCTGTATATTTTATAAAGGTGCAGCGGCTGGGACTGGGTTTCACTCGCCGCTGTCTGTCTCGGGCTCCGCAGGTGTTGGATTTCTGTGTCTGGGAATGTCATGGACCCACCAGGGTCACCTATGAAGGTCTGGAAGGGCTTGCTGTGTTTGCCGGGTACCCCTGCTTGCCTTCTGTGTGATTCTCTGTGCTGCAAGCCCAAAGAAGAGAAAAGCATCTAGAGCTTTCTCCTAAGTGTCTGTGGTGAGCTGGCCTGGGAGGCAGAGGCAGAGACCACTCCTCTGTCTTCCTGAAGCTCAGATCCCACTGGGGAGTCTTCTTTTGGGTTGTTCTCTTGTCATTGTGGTATCCAAAGCCCCCGCAGTGGTAACCAGATCACGAGGTACGGAATTCACACGGATGGGTGATGAACGCCAACTGTCTTTGTCCGCGGGTCTGGCTGGCCCCTGGCTGGCTGCCTAGTCACCGAGAATTGAGTCGCGTCACCCCAGTTGCTTCAGAACAGCCTTAGGTGTGGCGTTTGGCCTCTTACGGGGCCCATGGTTCCCAGCTCGGCTCCACCAGGCCGAAGGAGGCATTTAAAGTAGGTTTGGGTGCAGGAGTTGGTGGGCCAGGTGATGGCAATAAGTTGTTATTTTAAGACTTAAGAGCCCCCCCACCAAAGAGCCTGAGTCCTTATGTCTTTTTTTATTTTTATTTTTAAATCTCATATTCCCTTCTTATCTTTATTCATATGCATACAAATTTTCACCTCATGGAGTATAACATTTCAGATCCTCTTCTCTTTGCTTGTATCCAAAGTGTCTTCTGTGTATTGCTGCCGCTGAAGGACAAATGCCCCCTTTCTTCTACACAGTTTAGGATGTATCCTTGGAACAATTCACATCCTAAGAAACCTCTGCATTTGGGCCATTTGTCTGGATCCCAGATACTTTCACTAAGATGGATATGGGGAAGATGCCCTTGGCCTTGCTGAGAGATGCTATCAGAAGCTGTTATGAAATCTGTGATAACAGGTGTCGTATTCATTTATTTATTTAATCTGTGTACCCCATGCGACGAAATGTCTGTGAAAGCAGAATGTGAGCAGAAGCTTTCCAGTGAGGGGAGGGGTCCTGTCTGTTTCTTGACTTCTGTGCTCTGTGTCCTTGATGCAGACTAAGCAGATACGCAGAAATGATGGGTTAAGAGGACTGTGGAACCAGTTATGCTTCCTGTGGGTTTTGGGTCTCAGGAAACTCAGAATCAAGTTGCTGGAGCCCTTGGATCTCAGTGCTTGCTTGGGTTCTCCCTTTTGGATCCAGGGAGCCAGGTAGCAGGCCTTCTGGGGCTCCAGGAGGAGAGGACAGATGATAAAGAGCTGTGTGTGGGGCACAGGCAGGGTGGGAGATGGAGGAAGTTGATGTAGCTTATGTTTCTTCCTGTGTCACTAATGACCTTATGGGGACACTGCTGAGACTTCCTCTGGGCAGTGTCTGTCAGAACTCAGGTGCTAGTTGAAAAATGCAGATTCCTGGGCTCTGTCCCCTGAGATTCTGTTTCAGAAAGTCTAGGGTAGGGCCCTAGAATCTACATTTTTAGCATGTGCTCCAAGAAATTCTGTGTGGGTGGTCCATGAACCACTCTTTAAGAAATGTCCTCTCGAATCAGCAATAGCTCTTGGTACGTTCCCTGGGATTCACCAGACGCACTCAGTTCAGCCTTCTCCAGGTTGGGGTCTCTGCTGGTATGTGGCCCACTGTGGCTACAGGCTTTATATTCTGTGCCCCCAGGTTGGGGTATCTGTGTCCAAAGCTGTGGCAGGCTGAGTGGCTGGTGTTGTGGCCTGTTGGCCACCAGCAGGGTGAAGGCTGTCCCTGTCTGAGTCCAGCTGGCCCTGGAGATTGAAATGGGATCCCTCTGGATGGTGCCAGCTGCAAGGCCCCACCCCTTGGTGTTGGCCTGAGTAGCCCCCATGACATTTGTGTCCCCTGTGGTATCTCCAAGTGAGACTTTCCTGTTAAGGATCTGAGTGATGGGAGGGGGGAGGAGGGAGAGGGAGGCAGCCATGGAGGGCAGGGCAGAAGGAAGAGAAGCTCCACGGCCCTGCAGTGCTGGGCTTCAAGGAGGCGTTGAAGGGACGCTTCACTGTGCAGAACTGTTTTCCCCCTGAGGATGAAGCAGGCTAATTCCTGTTAGCAGAGAAATGGGCATCCTGCATTTAGTGATTGAACTCTCTGATTTCTCTGCCCAAGAGGATGAGGAAGCAGGGTGGAGACGTCTCCTCTGTGCCAAGGCTTCTGCTGGGTCAGTGTCATCGTGCAATCAGTGATGGGAGTCCAAGTCCCATGATACTGGCCCATCACCCTGCCCTGGGGTGGCGCCGGGAGGGGGAGAGGAGGGGAGTTGTGTGAGTGGTGCCACGCCAAAGGTTGGGAGGTGGCCCCATGCTGTAGGAGATGCCCCTGTTTTCTTGCTGCTGCTTACTCTGGTCCCTTTGTCAGAGGCTGTGCTGAAGCCATAGAGGTGAGTGGCCTAGGCTGGAGATGGGGAAGGGGAGGGTGGGTGTGGCCAGTTCCTGCCCCTGTCTCTCTGTGCTTGTGGCTCTCGGTACAGCCTTGGCAGGCTGACAAGGGCCTGATCCCATGGGTGCCAAAAGGGTGGTGACAGGAAGAGATGGGTACTTTGCACCTCTTAAGTGCTCTCTGCAGAGGGCCTTAGTCATTTGCCTGTGCCTAGACAGATTTGCCTCAGGACCAATGGGGAAAGAGAGGCCCATAATACTGGTTTGAGGATTTTGTGTTTTTGGTTTCGAGCTTTCAGTTTGCCCAGGAGTGCAACACGCTCAGACCTCAGCACTTCTCTCCCCACCGGAGCTGTTCCCTTTGAAACCTGGATTCTGGCTATTCTGTTCCCATGATGAGCCATGGCGTGTCACTCCACCCTTCTCCATCCAGGCTCCACA